CAGGAATCTCTTGGGCGCCAGTACAAAACAGCTCCATTACAGATAGTGTTTGTAAAAAAAAATAAATTCTGCTATGGAATATCATTTTTGGAGTTGTTTCTTGGATCACCCACCATTCATCGAAAAAAAGGGAACCATTATTTTCACTTTTAAAGAGATATTTTCACACAGGTATGAATATTTGTTGGTGTACTTAAAAATTTGAAGTTCTCTCTAACTGTTATACACGCGCATTAGTTCTTTTTACGTTATTAACTTGTCAAATTCACAATACCTTGTATCATATACATACATTGTTCTAATTTGCGCTTCACTTTGTCATTTCATCATTATTATATTATTAATTTTAATTTCCGACTTACGATTTGAGTATTTGCAAAATACTAAAGACGTTTGATAATTTTTTTTATCTCTGAATGTTATCCTTTCTTACGATGCTTTCTGATTCAACAACGATCCATATTTATTCATTTTGACAATTTTATTGTATATATATATAAAGCAAAATAATTATATTTTTTATTAACTTGTCAGTACTGTACTGAAGTGGATTCAAATTCAGGATTAAAACCTGTCTGTAACTTGATTTTATTAATATATGTGTACACACGATTACCTGTTGGCTCGCTCGGACTTTTTTTCTTTTATAATTTATTGATTAAATCGTAATTTATCTTATTTCATAAATACCTTATTCTTTTATATATTATTATTTTAAGAATTTAAAGCTATATATATGCTTGTTTATTTTGTAGTAATGTATTAAAAATCTATCAAAAACATCAAATTATTATTAGAAAAGGAAAAAAAATTCAAGTGCAATTTAATTTGTAAAATCTCGTGATCATATCAATGTAGCTAATTCCTAAATATTTAAAGAGGATGTTTGTGTTTGAACTTTGGAAGATGCATTACTTTTCTAGATATAAGCTATCTAATCTTGTTCAAAGTGGAAAATCCTGATTTCTCGGAGGAGAGAGAAAGAGAGAGAAAAAGATATGGAAAAAGTCAGTTCTCTTATGGATACGAGCTACCGGTATTACGATAAATATCAACTCACAATAGAGGTTCTTATACCTGGCACGCTATTTCAGTTTTTTTTCTACAGCAACCTCCTACTGAGAGAGATGTACGCTTGTTTTACATTGAATACTTTTTCCAAACAATGTATGTGTAGAACAATCACTGTTATGTCGTCATCCATTAGGGCAAAAAGCAGCGAGCACGTTATTTATCGAGCATTTCCATTAAACCGTCGTTGTGATTATGTGATTTGCTATTTCATGGGTATGAAGGAACGAATTCACAATGTTCTCTGCAATGAACAGCTTATGATGAAAATTAAAGCTATAAATAAACAATACTAAACTTTACAATACTAAACTTTATTTTTTAAAATTACACAAAATTATTGAAAATCTAATAACTACGCGAGAAGATTCGTACTATATCGGTATTCCATTATTGCTTTCAAAAATGAGCAGAATTGATAATTAGATTTGTATGCAGTACACGCTTTTATAATTGATGATGAATAACAATTGTTAAAATCTACCGCTCTTATACTTTACGCGCGGTATAGTGATTATCATAATTGCACAAAGAATTTACCACCACATGCAGTTGATTAATGCGAGAAATAATAGTGCGGATGAGAGTAGCCTTTTCAAGTCTTGAATGCATTGTTTTGTACTACATGCGCACATCTTGATAGAACTCATTTACGATAATAATGTGCAATTGCGCTTCTTGAATTTCAAATTATACAGTTAATGTACGACAAGATATAATCTTTCAGTAATTTTATCTGTTTTCATATGGAAATTGTACACGTTTACGATGTTATATCAAATTTATATATATATATATATATATAATACTATATTATCAGTTTTGACGCTGTTTTTATTAAAAACTCGAGCGAGATGTTAAAATGTATTTAACAAATTAGTATCAAGCTGAATTAAAAGTAGTTAGTAAAAAAAATTAAATGTTATCAATAGAGAAATCTTTTACTATCTAAAATAAAAAGTTAATTGTCTAATTTTATGTAGTAATGATGCAATAATTTTATAATGCATGATAAAAGAATATTATACAAATATTACATGTAGGAATGCTGATCTTTATTGCAAATCAACTCTCTCAGTTATAAAATGGATAATGTCTATTACTATAAGCACGCTTCCAGTTTACGAATTGCATATTAGAAGTTATGATCGCAATTTGTAATTGTATAATTTCATGATGTAAGAAATATAGTACATAATATATTTTTAATAAGCGGTACATCATGATGAGATGTCCGTAATCATCTGTGTTTAGTATTTAGCAAGTCAACTGCATTTAACACATACAATTTATTTAACATATAAAAGAATT